ATATGAACAAAGACCTACAAACTTTGAATAATGCTAGAAGATTGATATAATTGTTTCAATATATTCCTTGCCAAATTGCACAGTGTGGTACTAATCATGTAAGCAAAGGTGGTACCAGCTTCACTGGGTTTTCAACTTTTGCCTAGTGATTCCACTGATTTTGGAATCATTACAGGCCTAATTCCAGGTCATGAGCAAAAGTTTCTTTATTAATGTAAACTTACAAGAAACCCTCAGAATTACTGGGTTTTCAGAGTTTGTTCATCTTCCAGTATTCTAAAAAATAGAAAACAACATTTCAGAAACTGCACCTGTTTCCATCGTCAGGTGAAGGGAGAGACACCTACTTTGTTGGGTCCCTTAGAAAGAACTAACCTCAATCATTGGACCAGTGGTTGGGGTTAACTTTTTCTAAGGGACCCAACAGATTAGGTGTCTCCCCCCCACCTCACCTGGGGACAGAAAAAGATTTAGTTTTTAGAATACTGGATGATGGATGAAGTCCAAAAACCCAGTAATTCTGAGTGTCATACACCATTTTCAGAACCCTTTAGAATCTACTCCCAAGGAACCATTTCTGATGTCAGATTTGCTAATTTACAGTTGTCTTCCTTTTGTATTTCAAATGTCCCCTATGAACTTTCCAGTTTGTCATATTGTAGCCTGGCTTAAAATTTACATTTAATTTCTTTCAGAGTTGGAAGGAAATTAAAATTTTGGTAAATTGACCTGTATGGATAATTATTTTTTTTGTATTATCAGTAATAATTAAATAATATTTGAGATTTTATTGATTTACATGAGACTGTATACATATATATCTTTGTTTATGTTTTGCTAAGTGCAGGATGATTATAAAGTTGTGAGATATGTTGAATTACAGATGAATGTGTACAGTGTCACTTTGTCACTGAAACATAAAATCATCATTATATTAGTAAATCTCGAATAGAGTATCTGATGGCTATCAGCTTACTATTAAATTGTTTTGATTCTATGAGAACTCTAGCTTTCTATGCATGAACACCATCTTGGAACCGTGCCCATGATGCCCATATATAGTTTTATCAGTGGAATTATGTACATGTAAAATACTGACCTCACAAAATTTTTAACTTTTGGCTACAGCATTTTTCATATTAGATCAAGTTCAATGAAATCAGTACAAGGCTAGTTTGAGTATAATTTCTAACAAGAGTAATCTTAACTGGATCAAACAAAATTGAGACATCAGTGTGCTCATGTTATTTTCTTGTGCAAAACTTGTAAACATTCGTGATTTTTAGAGTTCACGATTACAAAATGCAGAATTCTCAAAAGACGTCCTTCATGTTGACTATCTGTAGGTCAAATTATTCCTCCATGCTGTGACAGAACTCTGTGAAATGATTTATGGTACTGAATTTAGAGTACTATGTTTCCTTAATCAGTACAGATGTCCTTAAATTTGATGATTTACAGTATTTCAGTGAAAATGTAAAACTAAGATATTATTCAAGAACACTTCCTTTAGTGAGGTAACTAGGTACTGAACTGAATTCAGCTTTGTCAGTAACGTCTAATATTTCAAATTGGCATTTCACAACCATTCTTAACTGAATCTCAATTTATGGGCTTGAGCTGTGTCTTTGTTATGGAAGTTTGAAAGCTAAGTTCAGGGCAGTATTCTGCTCTTATTCTCATCCTGCAAAGCCACATGGAAATAAGCAAACCTCTGTATATTTCATTTCATGTTTAAATATGGCAATTTTAAAAGAGGAAGTTTGTTGTTTGCAGGCTTGTATATTCACTCAGGTTTAATTTGTTTGTTGTTCTTTGCATTTGTGGGAACTCTCCAAATGTCAGTTATTTAATTTAGATTAGAATTCTAGATAATTTACTTTAATTTATTTTTGTATTTGTAAATGTTCATATCTGAACATGAATTACTGTTAACACAAAGACTGCAGCTGAAGTTAAGCAGCAAAATATTTTCAAGAGTATTGATTTTCTTATTGCAGACACCACACTTCCAGTGGTTTGAGAACAAGGTATTCCTCCTTTGTCTGCAGGAATGATGTATATAGATGTGGAGTGAAAGGCTTCTGATGAGTTAATAGTCCATAATTTAATCTTTCAATACAGTTACAGTTTCTACCATATGTGTGTTTAAACATGCAATTCCTTCCTAAAGAATATGCTACAGTATTTTGAAATGTAAACAGGAGAGATTTTTCTTAAACTTTTAATTTCCTTGGTTGTTAGTGGCCTGCCAGAAGATATTGATGATTTTGGAACAATTAGTATTGCATATTGGCTGTAAATGGAACTCCATAATGGTTTGTAGTTAGGTTACTATGTTTGGATGAATATGAGTGAGTGACAGTGTAAATATGTATAAATCACTTTTCTTTTTTTTTTTTTACAAAATATCTTTATTAATTTCTGTGTCTGTCATTTATGTCTTGAAATCATTTAAAAATGATCATTGCCACATTCATAACTGCAGAACTCTGAGAGTTTTTTATGTAACATATATTCTGTTTTTACTAGAAAAGTTTATTTTTTGGGTGTGCAACATGTTCTGTTTGAAATATTGTTCCTGAGCATTTATGTCGATCATTGAACTTGTGTGCAAATGCTGGAAGAGTGACTGGGAGCAGGGGGAATATGAATATAATCATTCCATAAATATTATCACTATGCTGTTGTACATTTCCTCCCCTAGGAACCGACTGATTGTGTCACATGCACACTTCGTATATATTCAATTAATAATATGTGCGGTGACAAAGTTTGGCAGTGTGGAACTGTGTGCATGAAATATGACTTCCATACCAGCTGTGGATCTGTATCAACACTTGTCTTCCTTGCTTGGCAAAGGGAAGATCCAGACATTAAGCCTACTACTGTAACCAGCACATTTTGTCATAGAACTTCAGGTTGCAATATTTAAACTTGTATTTATTTACAATTTTGAATTGTCAGAGTTGTAGTGACCATGTCCTTATGATTACTGTAGATATGCACAAGTATGTGAGTGATTTGTTGTGATAATATATACAGTTACATAGATGTTACACAGGGTTCTTTTTACATGGACTCCAGTATTTACCTTCCTTGTAAAACAATGCATGATTTCTTCAGTTAAGTGTGATATGCCTAAATAATTCAAATATGATTTTCAATTATTTAACCTGAAAAGAACCTTAAAAGACTTTCACTTAATTTTCTTGCACTTCTTATAATTTCTGTTTGAAGATGGATGGGTCTACAAGCTTTCAGAAAATCTGTCCTAGAAACGTTTGAAATATTTTAAAACCTCTGTAAGTATGCATTTTTGCTGTATGACTTCAGCTTTCATGGTATGCCATGTAGAATGTTGAAGGTTTGTGAAATTTTAGCAAATATTGCAGTTGCTGTTTTCAGGGATAGTATTTTTTGGTTCAGTCAGTTGGGTAAATTGCTGCTGTCATTCTTGGTTCTAGGTCCCATTGGGCCAATGACCATATATTTCTGTCTCACAACTCTGGGAGTTGTTTAACTGCTCAGTGGCTTTGGGGGATTTCTGGAAGCCCTTGAATAGATATGACAGTGAGTGGTGTATGGGGGTCGGTGCTGTGTTTGGAGGAAACAAAGAGCAGGGTATTATCCAGTGCATTTACATTTACATTTATTTTCACTTCATAGATCCAATCATCTCCCCGTAGGGATGGATATAAAACATGTCACATATTACAAATTCATGGTGACTACTCATCATATGTCCTTTGTCCAATAAAATAGATAATCAGGCCTCTCACAGACAGCTCAAGTTGTCAGGACAACACACATGCGTTGTGGAGAAACCACTGTGGTTGAGGAAAGTAGGTGATTAGAGTTCATTGTAACATGTGGTGATGAAGTATGTTAATAAAAATTATTTTGTTGTTTTGTATGTGCAGATGATGGAAGCATTTTTAGCTATCATGTGGTGTTCAAAAAAGATTGTGGAAGATGTTTTTGTGTCCACTTGGCTGGGAAGGATTTACTGAAAAGATTTTTTTTTTGGCAATCACATGGTTATGAAAGTTATTTTTTTTTTGACAGAAAATGGTTAGGAAAGAAGACAATGAAAAAGATTTGGTGGTCATGTGGATATGAAAAGGGATGAAGTTTTGTGACTACTCTGGTGGACCGGTGAACGCAGGTGAAGTTCAGTGGTTCACTGATACTTCATTCTTAGGTTTGAAGGGTAAGAGATGGAGCCAGGATTTACCAAGTATCCACCCTCCTGGAAGTTAATAAGCTAAGTCATGCGTAAAGTCTGATTCTATCGAGGTTATCGAGCATAAAGTGTCGAAGTATTTGCCTTGAATCGACGGAATCGACTGTTTGGAACGTTTGGAATGATGGGTAATTTGTTTCGCAGACCGCTGTGCAGAACAGGATGGATGAGAAAGCGTACATTTAATTTGTTTTGGGGCGGAGAATTCTGGAAATTATGCGACAAAGGATACAAGAGCTGTAAAAGGTAGTTACTGTAAGATGCGAATAAGGAAAGCACAATTGAATTTTACGAGTGGTTAGAGGTAGGCAGTTATTGCTCTTTTCAACAGTTTTTGAGTGACTGTCGACTTTTATAGAAAACCTGGTACCATGGAGTGAGTTTAGGAAAATAAGTGAGGCCGAATGTGGTATGGATCGTGTATTGTCTCACATTGAAAGGCCAGGTTTCAGCTCTGATACTCCGTGGTTAGGTTAAGGTAGAATATACACACGTAGGTTGGGTTAGTTGGTCATAACGTAGTATACCGTAGTCACTTTTTCACTTTATTTTAAATTCCATAGATCCTTTTCAGGTCACGCATGCCATAGGATATAGAACATGTCAAAATACATAAAAACAATGAACCCATCAACATGCAATACAGTCACAATTCAAAATTTGTAAATAAAATATGATCAAATTTATGCAGATATATGATTATCGTTGCCACCACCATAAATCAAAACAAAACACCATATTCATAATATAGAAGTTTGATGCAGTTATTTCGTTCACATAACTACAACTACTAGTCGGCAGTTATACGGTTTCGTTCGCATTATTGCATTGTTTTAATGGGGCTTTGCATTGTAATCAGCAGTTTTACTAATAATATAAGTTTAAGCTACATTATTTTTCACTTTGATCATTTCAGGTGGAGGCAGAACTCTGGGGAGAGATATGAAAAAGAAATCTGCCATCCATCTGTGCCTTGTAGGAGGGTCAGTTCTCCTTGTTGCACAGTTAAGCCTTCTTGGGTTACTCCTGTATCCACACAATCAGCGTCATACACATTTTCTGAAAGATGTTGAGACATTAGTCAACATAACCTCAAAATTACGTATGTCACTAGTTGCAATTGACAGTGAAGCCTTACAGCATTTTAATAATCAGAAAAATGGTGTCAGAATGCAGTGTGTTCTTTGTGAAACCAAACATCCAGCAACATTTGTCACATTATTTAGGGGTCTTAAACAGAGTGTAAGTATTCTTTAAACTTACTTTACTGATTACTGTGTAATATATTTCTATTTTTGTACTGTCTCTCACAATGTGGAGAAAGTAGTAGTAGATTTGAACATTGTGTGACATCAATTGACAGTGTTCTCAATTTCACTTGTGCAAGCTCTGTAGTGTTGTGATGGCAGTGTGGATATTATCACACTTAATCACTTCCACTATATATACAACCTGTTTCAATCTAAGAAGGTCACCATCAGGCATGTTCTTTGTGTAAGCTGTTTCACCACATAAATTCCCCATTGAAGGAAGTAACACTAACTAAATTAAGTTGAAGGTTAAAGTTGTAACTGACATGGGTAATAATCAAGTGTTTAACTTTTTTCACTTTTTGAAGAAGGATGTTATAGTGCAACTTACTATTGCAAGTCACTGTGTTACTTAATTACAACATATTGACATGTAATAGTGAGCTTCTGTTGTATATTAATTGTGTGTAATTGTAAAAGAAAGTATATTGTAGAATAATAAAACATTGCATGTTGCTGAAATACAGTGTTTTTCATTGATATTGTATCAGAAAATGTGATGCAGGCACTAGTGGGATGTGCCCTTTCTGTTCCATGTATATGTTGTGGCTTCCCAGTGAATTCTCAGGTCCAGTCAGTTGAGCATTTTTCTGTACAATAACAGTTGAGCACAGTAAGATGATTTTCAGTAAATGTTACATTTCAGTGCGTGTTTTTCTCTTGTAGGATGACTTTGTGTCTATGTTACAAGAAGCCAGATTCCATGTTGTCAGTCTACAAAACTTAAATCCACCTGAAGTACCATCTGGTATTTCTATAAATATACCAATCTGTTATTTGCTCAAGAGAAATATTGTGATACATCTTGTACTCTTTCATGAGAGGGAGGGTAATTACTGGTGGCATGGTGGTCTCCTCAGTGACCCAAGAGCAATATCTGAACTTTCAACTTTTGGCTTATCAGTACACACTGTACAAATGATGAAGACTGAAGGAGCCTTCGACAAGTTTGAAACAGACTTGGTTGATATGGGTGGTATACCTATTTTGATACCAAAAAATATTCCACGTTTCCTGCATGATACTGAAAGTTCAAGGTTTATTGAATGCAGTCATGTGTTAGCAGACTCATTTCACCGATCTCATGGAAAAGATACAACACCTGAAGCCTTGAGATTTGTCCACAGAGCATGGAAACTGCTGTCAAAAGCTAAGACTTTGCTGGATAAACTTGGAATCCGATTTTGGATAAGCAGTGGGACATGTCTAGGTAAGTGTGCCTTTTTTGGAAATACAGTTGTAAATTTTAAGCTTCTAAAGGAAAGCTTTCAAGACTGACATAAAGAATAAAAGTCACAGAATGAGGAAATGCATTTATCCTTTAAGAGCCTAGCGACACTGTATGGAGACCATTAAAGTGTAGCCGAGTGGCCGTGCGACACCGTATGGGTATGTGCAGTCCACGCGTGTGCACAGTGTTTTAAAATCCAATTTTAAAATAGAAATTCTTGTTCTACTTACATTATTTTTGGGCACCCGCTTTATAACTAGACAGTCTTCCCTCCTGCGTCATCTAACTGAATGCAGAGTCCGATGTTGCAATTCATGCACTTTGTCCGGATGTAACTCTGTTTCCCACGCAAAGAGCACACACGACACCTCAGTCTCGTATTAGAGGAAGTTGGCCAGTGATGTCGAGTGGCCTCCTCTAATCATAACATTTATAAAACGTCGCAATTTCAACTATCCGCCATGGCCTCATTTCACATGGGAGAAGCTGAAATTGAGAGGCAGCTGATAAATGACACCGATTCAGACTGCAGTACAGATGACTCTGAAAGTGGCGAGGAAGCAAGGGGCTAGGCTTGAATGTTCGGCAGTGTGGGGCTATTCCGAGAACAGTACCTCTGTGTGGCTAGTCCGAAATATACACAGAGTTTCTGAAGGACAAAATATGATAAGACTTCGACCACACTTGTGCATACAGAAAGGTTCCGACGTGACTGGAGAATGTGTAATACAAACATAAACTTCCACCCCTTTTGCCAGATAAGACATAGTAAGACAGGATGTCAGCAGCATGCATTTATACTGCAGAAACTGTATACATATTTGTGGACAGACACTTGAAATTGGGGGAAAAAAATTTTTGGAATCAATGTAATAATTTTTACAGATTTTAAAATCTGTAAATTACCATATCTGATTCTATATTCTTTCTAGATAAAAGCAGCATTTATGCTGTTCGTTTATCACAAAAATTGTAGAAATCTCAGCATTTTCAGTGACATGCTTACAATTTTTAATACTCTACAATGGCGGGCATTTAAATTAACTCCGGCCTGCTGCAATTACCAGAATTTAAATGGCCTGTCTCTTAAAGGTTATAATAATGTTACCCAGAGACCATACTAGTCCAACAGCTAGGAAGCAATGATAGCCAAAATGTGATTGATGAAAATACTCTCAAACAGATAACATTTTCTGACCTGTTGCAAATAAATCAACTTCAAAAACATGATGTTCCTTGCTTGTAATAATTCCATTTGTAAAGAGGAAATGTCTGAAATCGTAACAGAATCACACTTTACACATGAGTTTAAGAAATATGAATTGTGAGGTTCGAGAATCTCTGGAGTGAATATGAAGATTACCGACTTCTGGGATGTTATGCTATGCAGCCATATAGAAAGTTACCAGTGTTTCATAAAAATCTAGCCCCAAAATTGGGGACAGCAGGCTCATTGAGAAAAAATTGGTAACTTTTCTACCAGACCGCACAGTGTAACATTCCAGAAGACAGCAGTCTTTGCACATACACATTGTAAGATTTGAGGCTTTCACGGCAGTGACTATGAAGAAAGCAGTCTTCTGGGATTTGGCACCATGTATATGTGGTGTTAACCGACGTTTCGGAGGAACGTATCGCCTCCATCTTCAGGGTAGAAGAAAAAATATAAGAAATCTGCAAGCGAAGAGACCGTGAGAACAGGTAAAAGAAGCACCAGTCTTCACCCTGAAGATGGAGGTGATACGTTCCTCCGAAACGTCGGTTAACACCACATATACACGGTGCCAAATCCCAGAAGACTGCTTTCTTCACATACACATTGTTTGCCCATATATTGAATGAGCAGTAATAGTACTTAATGCCTGACTGCCAATCCCTACCATGCAGCTGCATGCTAGAAACACCATGGTGGCTTGGGGTAAATCCTCAGGTCACCTTCAAACAACCACTGGTGTGAATCATTTGAAAGCATGTGCCTTCATCTACACATTGGTGTATAACGCGTAATGCTGAACTGATCTAATCAGCTTGTGGAGTGTAAAGTTTTACCATTGTTGTAGCCTTATTTATTACAAGGCAAAACAAAAACTGAGTAATATTGTATTTAAGCAGTCTGTTAAATTGATATATAATTTACTTCATACAATAAATGTTGGCCACACACAGCCATCATCAGGTGTCTCTAATTTGCTAAAATTGTTACACTGTGTGATATGTCAAACTTCCCGTATCACAAGTGAATGTGATGTCTTTGAGGTTAAAATAAATGGACTTTAATTAAAATCTGTAAAAACTAGATAAAATTCCAATATTTTGCCTGGGGTCGTCATCCATTCATCAATGATTATGCATTCACTAGAATCACCTGTTGATCATCCAGTCTTTTATTAGTATTATTCTAGTCATTATTCTATTATTCTAGTCTAGTCATTTAAGCAATTTCTGTGATATGTTCAAACTGACATTGTTTAAATTTAAACTGCATGTTTCATTAAATTAACTTATATGACTGGAATCTATTTGATTCTACATGTTTTGTTTCAATTTTTGTATTTTATACTTTTTTATTTATGTACTTAGTTCTTGCTCTATTAATTTTAAGAATAATCACTGTATGGACATGTTCTATATCTCACTTGTATTGTGGATCCATGGAACGAAAAATAAATGAATGAATGAAAACAACATTGTTTTTAAGGTCTCCTTGTTTGGATTTATTTGTGGATTGGCATGGGTGTCTGTTTGTTATTGTGTAGTTCACAAGTAGGTTGGTGTAGTTATCATGTATGCCCCTTTGGCTGTAGGTTCTTCAACCTGCCTGTGTAGTAGTGTTGCTCATCATTCTGTGTATGTAGACCTTATCTCAGTGCTTGCTGGTATGAGCATTAATCTTTTCTGTGGCATGTATTTATTAAGTTCTCCTTGAGTCATTCTGGACTTCTACCAGGATGAACTTGAAGCACTGAACTCGAAAGTAGGCTGTCACTTATGAGTAGCCTGGGAGCAAGAGAACTGTGCAAATATGTGAGATGTATTGCAGCATGGAACATTTTATAGAAAATAGGAATGTATGGTAGTTGAAATTTTTGGGAAGTGTTCTCAGAAATGGATTACCAAATGATATAGATATTACTTTACTAGGGGGCTACACCCTGCATACTCACAATCAAGTCATAATACGTAGCTGATTCCAAAAGTAAGGTCTCCAAAGCGCTGGGTAATTTTTCGTGCGGCTGTTGGCAACCCTGTTGCATTCGTTGCTTCCCCCACTCCCCCCAATACCACCAAGCATGCGCGCACGTAGCTAGGACGCTCAGTCTTGGCACGGTTGCCGTTAGAAATGGAGCTCCCGATTACTAAAACCGCGAAGTGTGAGATTCGCGCAGTTATTCAGTTTTTGAACGCAAAAGGGACTAAACCAATTGAAATTCATCGTCAATTGGTGGAAGTGTATGGCGAGTCGTGCATGGACATAAAGAACGTCCGCAAGTGGTGTAGGGAGTTTGAATCTGGTCGTACTGCAATACACGACGAAAAAAGAACTGGGAGACCGTCAATTTCTGACGAGACAGTCGCGAAGATTGAGCGAGTCATGCGTCAGGATAGGCGCATCACACTCGATGATCTCTGCATTTCGGTTCCCGAGGTTTCCCGAACCACCATTTATCGGGTTTTGACAGAGAAGTTGAATTATCGGAAGGTGTGCGCAAGATGGGTCCCGCGAATGCTCACGGAAGACCACAAACGGCAGAGAGTTGACTCTTCCCGTGAATTTCTTCGCCGCTATGCTGACGAAAAGGACAACTTCTTGAATTCAATTGTCACAGGCGACGAAACCTGGGCGTACCACTTCACACCTGAGACAAAACAACAATCACGTCAGTGGCGGCATTCCTCTTCGCCTAAGCCTCGAAAATTCAAGCAAACACAGTCTGCCGGTAAAGTCATGGCAACTGTGTTTTGGGATCGAAACGGGGTATTGTTGGTTGACTTTATGGAAACTGGGACCACAATAAACGCTGAGAGATATTGTGAGACACTGAGAAAACTCAGGCGGGCGATTCAGAACCGGAGAAGAGGGATGTTGAGCAAGGGCGTAAGCATTCTCCATGATAACGCTCGCCCCCATGCTGCCCGACAAACCGTCGCTCAACTGCAACAGTTTGGATGGAACATCATCACCCATCCACCCTATAGTCCGGACTTGGCGCCCAGTGACTACCATCTCTTTCCAAAGTTGAAAGAACATTTGTCTGGAAAGCGCTTCAACAACGACGATGAGGTGAAAGCTGAGGTTCGAAGTTTCCTGAACAGCATGGAGGTGAACTGGTATGACATGGGCATACAAAAACTGCCACTGCGCCTACAAAAATGCATCGACCGAAATGGCGATTATGTAGAGAAATGAGTACATGTTCAAGATTCAACTGATGTATCCAAAATTGAAAATAAATGTTTATTTTATATTTTCAAACATAGGAGACCTTACTTTTGGAATTACCCTCGTATCTGATATTAAAAAAGTACAAAGTACATATTTCAGGAAGCTGTTTAAATAAGCATTTATCATGAGAATGACAGCAAGTGATGACAGACTGTTGGAAAGTCTGGGTTATAATGACATGTAGTCTAGAGATAGCCTGATGCTTCAGATGAATATAAGAAGCATAAGCGAAGCATGAAACCTACTGATGCAGGTGGCTAGTAGAGCTGAGCTTGCCACCTGCTTCTCTTGGCTTCTTGCTTTGCATACCCTTTGACTGTGATAATGCAGGTGATGTGTACGTTCGAAATGTTAGGCCGTCTCAAAACTACACATAGTTACAGCTCACAAAACCATGCTTTTCATGGTCAGTGCTGTGATTAGCGCAAATTCAACAGCAAGGACTACTGTTGTAGAGCCACATACCAGTAGAATTACTGTGACCTGTAACTAGCGTGTGTGCACTCATAACCTCAGGCAGGATGATTACAGTTCTGTTTTATAGCAAGGTAGTTCTTGCTAGTTTTTCGTGTGGACTGAAATATTTTAAGGAAGGAAGGCGGCAGGCAGGCATTATGTGCTCTTCCCTGAACTTACAGTTAACATATAAAAATAAAAATCTTTCATCAAAATCTGTAGTCATTACTGTTAGAAAGAAATAAGGGCCTACATGTAGCTTTTGCATGCCATGTTTGCATTGTACACAGAAATTATCTTTGAAGTATTTGCATACTTTTAAACAATTTGCATTAAAATGCAGTCACGGCTGTTAAATCAGTGTGCAAGTATTGTGACAGAGTTTTTGGATGAAATTTGAATCTTCATCATCAGTTTATATTTTTTAATTACATGAGTAAAATTAATTTTTTTAATTTGATTGTTACTCCTTTAAAGTTTTAGCTTCTATATATTATGATAATATTATATTTAAGCATCCTGTTACACTCTATACGATATATGATATAAATTCCGTAGTAAAGATAAGCAGCGGCACGCACACGGAGCCTACACAGAATAACACCTTACAGTGCTGAAAACAAGAAGTAGCCGCTGCAGCACTATAGACGTGGGGCGAGTAACCCTGAGAAATTTTAAAGGAGTTTTCTAAAACGGAACTGAAGGTTTTAAAAGTGCCAGTTCATGAATGTCAAAATTGACGTGTGTGGGTGACAAAGATGATGTACGAATCAGACAAATATCAGCGAAGTAGATCCTGTTAGCCAATTGGGAAGACCTGTGTGTTTTTTAAATTTTAAACTGGGTGCAGTGTAACAGCTACGTGAGTGTATACACCTGATGATGGCCGTTTGCGGCTGAAACATGTAGTATAGAAGAAGGCAATACGAAAGACCTACAATAAATTGTTACACTTAGGACGGAATTTATATCGTATATATTATGATATTGACAAGGTAAACAGCCTCACTATGGACGAGAACTTAAGTTTGTAGGTAATGGAGGATTGCTTGCTCTTCCAACATAAGCAGTTTGAAGGGAAATGCCTGCTTTTTCAGGTTACTTCCGTCAGTGTGACATCATTCCATACAGTAAAGATGTAGACATAGGGATCTTCATAAGTGACTACAGTGAGAAGATATTGCCAGAGTTTCTTGCACACGGCTTCACACTGAAGCACTGGTTTGGGAAAGTGAATGACAGTCTGGAGCTGTCCTTCTCCAGTGGTGACCTTAAGCTTGACATATTTTTCTTCTATGAAGATGGACGATTTTTGTGGAATGGAGGCACACAGGCAAAATCTGGGAAAAAATTTAAGTGAGTACAACAATGGGGCAGGCTTCAGGCAAAGCTGCTGGAGTAATTTCTAATGCATCAGTTGGAAGTGTGACAAAATGGGGAATAACTATAAATAAATACAAACAAAGTTTATTTACCAGTTGTGCATCACATTCCTGCAGTGGCTTGTGTGCAGACTGGCTGAGCATTGCATTTTTTTTAATCATTATTGTCTGTCTAAAATATCTTTCAGAGTACATCATGCCATGAGTAGATGATGTAACAGAAGAAAAGTTGTGTGTGATCAGTGAGATTTTGGGGATAGCAGTTTTGGTTCCCAGCATATTTTTAAAATAGAATCTGGTAACTTTTTAATGATGGCATAATGATCTTTGTTACTGTAAGATGATGACATGCCCTCAAAGATGTTTTAGACACAATATAATAATGTTACCTTCAAGTTAAAATACTGCCACCAGCCTGCTAGAACCAAGAAATTCAAAATTTCCTGTTTCTGGATGATGGACAGTTGCCCAAAATGATAACAATAAAAAAAAAATATGGCTGCAAAGCCAGTAGAACCTGGAGCTTTAAAATACCTTTTCCTGGATGTTGAAAGTTAAATTAAATGATGCATAAATTCAGGACATGTGTTTTATTATTTGGCTGAAAAATGATTTCCATCTCATCTACCATGTAAAAGGCTAAAGGTTCAAGATATACTGTATGTTTTGCCCATTGTTTTATTGAAACATTGTCTTTCAGTCTAATGAAAGAAGCTGTTTTGAACTAAGTAAATGAACTTAACAGAGAGACTGAATAATACACCATTATAAGAACAACATGAAATTATAGTCTTCCACTATGGCTAGGGTACTTGAATAAATGAGGTTGTGATGAGCTGGATGTGAAAGAAACAATAAATTTATTTAGGATTTTGGTGGAAACATGTCCTGGAAAGCTATTTATCAGAAGAAAGAGTGCAATATTAAACTGGTCTTGGAATGACATGACACACACAGCTAAGAAAACAAGGGGAGGAGCACAACACACACACACACGCATCAGCAACAAGGGAAGTTAGTGATTTCCTCAGTAGACATATGTTTAACACCTGATGATGGCCATGTTGGCTGAAACATGTAGTGTATTTTAAAACTTTAAAAAACAATGTACTTATAAAGAAGGCAAGTTTTGTGGAACGTAGTGTTGCACGTAAGATGGTGAATGATCAACACAAGTGAAAGGTGCAACGGGATGCTACAGTACAGTATTACATGACAGTGACGTGGGCTGGATTAAGTGGATCAAAATTTGATGACAGCTTCTGCTAGCAGAATTGACATTTTTGGTTGTAATACCGAAAAGCTAAGATCAGATAAGGCAAATATTGTGACGTAACTTACATTTTTATTGATGTGTTCTTTTTTGGGTTAATGGTTGTCAAGTAATGAAGTAGTTGTTTTAATGCCTTTGTTTTTATGAGTACTGGTAGCTGAGTCATTGTAGTGACTGGTGACTGGTTGGCCTGTTGGGGTTCAGTGCCCAGCAGGGGAACATACGTATTTCTCTTCTTGCCCAGCCCAGGGGCCTACCCAGTCTATTATTGATTCAAAATCAGGATCACTTTCCCCAGGTGTAATGTGACTAGGGAATGATCATCTGTACCCAGGGCCAGGGTTAAGAATGGGCAGAGGATTCTGTGCCTCCGTTCCCCCATATATCTTCATTGCGTAGTACTTAGTTTAATCCAGGGACAGCTGTACCTTTATCATAATTGTTGTTTTAAATAATAATTCATGGTTTTAGTGATAGCTGAGCCAGTATAATGATGTGAGCTGAATGTTTGGGTTTTGACTCCCAGCAAGGGAAGAGATTTTTCCCATAGGTACCTCATTCATACCAGCTCTGGGGTCAACCATCCAACTGTGTCAAATGGCTACCTAGAGATCTTATTCTGTAGTAGTGTAACTGCAGTGTGAAGCTCGTCATCACCTCTGTCTAGTGCAGAAGTTAGGAATGGGTAAAACTGTACTTCCCCTCCCCCAGTACTTCATTGTGGCATGGTGTTTATTAACCCTTATACTGCTGCTGTCGACATATGTCGATCTCTGAAAAACATGGTGTCCTTGCTGCAATCGGCAAAACCTGTATTGGGACTTTAGAGTTTCAAATCTCAGGTTTCTTTGCACCCGTCTCATTCAAACTTGGTGGGTGCATAAAGTCATCTATTGGGAACATATTGAAGCATCATTCATTTCAATGGCTGCATTCTTCTGCCCTCTAGCTTAAGAAATGTAAAAGGTTGCATCTGCACAGCGAGGCACACGCTCCATGGTCATGTGATGCTGGTATTTCACAGGGCTAGTAAAAATGGCTTCATATAGTGCGCGGTGCTTTCTATAATAGGTTTAAATAAAGTTATGGACTTTGGCCAACATGTGACTTAGTGATAAGACTAGGATAGTGAATTATGTACTTTTTTGGCCATCTTGGACTACCTTAATTTAAATGGACTTTTCCCCTTTGAAAAATACTGAATAATTAAACATTTTTGCAACTTCTAAACTTTCATGCAGCAGAATATATCACTTGTTTCCAGGATATGCGAAGTACTATTCAGCATCGCTTTGAAGCCACTAAGCAGCTGATTTGAAGGTTGCAAAACATTCCTCATAGATCCTATAAAACCTTTCAGACTGAAGAAATAGCTGCTCCAGTGAACACTGCAATCTTTGGGGGTGTAATGTTTCAGTTTTATTAGGAGATGGCAGGAAAAATGACGATTTTTCTGTGAGCCTGCAGTTGGTGAGGACATACTTGGGTTGGCACCGATAGTGTATCTCATACATACGAGATACCAGCTTTACCCTTAGCCTTGATTCATGGTGTAGTTTTAGTATTAACTAAATATAACAACATTTACATTATTTTTTATCTGTGGATATATACACTGGTGTATGTGATATAAAGTTTTCATGTTTTGTAAGGAATATATGTAGAAGTTTGTATGCGTTTCAGGTATGTGTTTCCACGATTCACTCTCTGCTGGACAGAGTTTCTTGAACTGAAAGTGAGAGTGCCTTGTGAGACTCAGGCATACATTGAGGCCAACTATGGTTCTGATTGGTTCACTCCAATGACACGCTGGGACTGGAAGAGCAGTCCACCAAATGTGAGAGAGAATGGGGAGTGGCCACCGGATGAGTGGTCTGAAGTAATGAGAGTGTACAATTGACTGTGGTAATTATTCCTGCACTTTTGTATTTATTTTTATGTGGTACAGTTTGGCTGATGCCATCCAGTTGTTTGGTTTTATCTGCGTGCTGTAGTTCAACTAATTTAAATCATCATCATATTTACAATTATCTTACTTATTCCATGGTTCCACTTTTCCCTAAGAGCCTTGGCTTCCCTTATGACAGATGCACATGCCCTGTTATTTGCCCTTTGCCCCATCTCTTCACTTCCGGTTTTTGTAATCATTTTCTGCATCTTCCAGCTATTTCAGTCTTCAATCTGGACCTTCTATCTTACTTTAAAAAATTTGTTTAGCCATCCTTGATTGATCCATTCTGATCACAACCACTTGAGTCTTGCCTTTTTATTGCTACCAGTTCAGGGGTTTATGCAATTCCCTCAATTTTTCATTGGTTCTGATTCTCCAAATCCCATGCTGTTAATACTCTATACATTTTCCTCAAAGGTTTCCTCTCCCATGAATTAAATATAACTTTTTCTTTTTTGGTCATGGCCCATTGCAATTCACAGAATGTAACATGTTCATCAGTAAAGTAAGTAAAAGTAAAGCTATCCCTGTACCAGGCCATGAAGGCCCATAGGGTTATGAGACGTTGAGGGTCCCACATTATCTAGACAATCGGCTCAAAGATGGCGGTAAGGTTGTCAGCCTTACGCGCCCGCCATGCTTTACTCCCCAGGAAAATTATTTAATTCGGCAAGATATATCACAAACACTTATTGTTCATGAGCAATTTGAACAGTTTAAATATTCTAAGTAGTTTTGTTGTTAAACTGAAAGATGTTCTAAATGAAGACTGTGTTCTGGTGTATGACACCATCTAGTTTGGTAGATTGGTGCCAGGGTTGTGGGGGAAACTACTACCTTCATCTTCTACCCTGAATAAGGAGGCAGCAGTTCCTCTGGAATTTGATAACCCTCTACCAGACTACATGGTATCACATTCCCATATATGTTGAAATAATGATCCAGGTCACTGTGTTAGTTCCCAACTGCAGTTCATATTCAGGACTGATAACTAGAATGATTTGTGACTTTGTGTAAAATATGTGCTTTAATGACTGGATCTATGCCAAAATGATATCTGCTTCACTGCTTTTACTGTAGATATTCCATGCCAAATTTCATTACAATTGATCAGGTGGTTCAGAAGATAAAATGTGCACAGACACACATCTCCCCCATAAGGCATTGCACTCCTTTGCTTTGCATGTAGAATACCTAATTAAATACTGAAGTAATGATGAGCACTAGATGATGATTTAATTAGTTGAATGTGTCATACAAAGTCTGTGAAATGGGTGAATGTAGATGGCCGGATTGTGTTTTATAATTTATAGGTTTATCATAGAGAAGGATGAATGAGATTTGAGGTTCCATGGTAGTGAATATTCAGATTGTGGGCTTCTGGAGTGTGATGCCACTTTTGTTTTGAAGATGGAGGCATTGCGTTCCTCTGAAATGCTGGTATCTGATCTGCCTACATGATGTCTCATTCCACAAGACAGTAATCTTCATAAATACAGCTTGTGTTTTGTGAGACCTCAAAATCTCAAAGTGTTGAATACAACATTGCTGCTTTCTGGGATGTGATGCTGTGTAGCATGACTTCGCATCCCAGGTGACCACGGTCTTAACTTATGTTCATCTGACTGATACAAGTTATAGTACTACGTTGTTAGTATTTAAAGCAGTACTGATTATTTGTATGTACAGACCTCTTCATGTGATGGTCCTTGACTGATCTGTATTCTGTCTTCTTCCAAATGAGAAAAAGGATGCTTGTCATTTGCTGCTGTCAGCTTAGCGTGTATCATATGCACATCTGTTCTTGACCAGGCACTCATCTGGCTGCAGAGTGAGGAAGTTAAACTTGCGATTATAAGGGTGCTTCACTGGCAGAAGAAGGGTAAATTTGTGTCATCTGTGTTTTGTATGAATGAATTCTATTTTATACAAATGTCTGAACCAAAAATCAGTGGATTGGTATACATGTTAATTATTAAAATTTTAAAGCTTGCATCTGGGCATCTTCTCATTAAATAACACATGCCTTCTCTCTGATAACTTATCACATTTGTAGGATAACATGAGAAATGTCACTGACAGAAAACTTTGGATGCGTGAATGTCTCTGTGAATTGTAATTACTGTAGGCCCTACAATGTTTGCAGTTCTTGTGGCCATGCAGAGTGACATATCTTAAATTGCTGTGTTATGAAATTGATTCAATCAAGTACCATAAAATGAGTGTCAGCTTATGCAGCTGATCATTTTCATATGAATGGCAGTATGATAAGAGACATTGAAGTTGATTTTAGTGTTAATTCTTTATTGACTGAAGTCAAAAAGAAATTATTAATATCATGGATGTTCTGTATAGGAAAAGATAGCAACTTAGTCGTCTGTATTTCATTGGCAAATAAAGTAAGTGTTGTACTTATGAAGATACCCAAACGTCCTCACTATGCACAAACATTTCCCCCATGGTGACTGATCTAATGACAGACCTTCCTCAATTGATTTCTGCCCTTCTGTAAACACTTTGCTTATATCTGTATCCACTCTTGTCTCTAATTTCTTTTGTCTTCTGTCATTTGGGCTCTCCGTCTTCCCCTTTTTTCAATATCTTAATTTTTTATGCAGACAGAGAATTTGTATTGTCGTGTGTGTAACACACATCCTTGCCACAATACAAGGGACTTAATCCCACCCCATTTGCATTAAAAAAGAAAACACATCCTTAATTTGACCATCCCTTATTGTTTCTCTCTTCAGACTCTGTATTTCATTTTATCCCCCCCCCCAAGTTCTTCATCCATACTGCAAGAAGATTAATATCTTCTGTGGTGGAGAGTGAACTGAAGAAGCCATGAGCAGTGTTCAGTATGAGAACTTCATATCTCACATCTGTATATTGCATCCCTGCACTCCCAATTACATTTTGGTGTTTTGTGTACTGGTACACTCCTTATTTCCCTCATCTGTGCTGTATGCCTAACCCGTTAATGGGTGACGGGTAGTCACAAGTTCCCGGTCTTCTTTTCCCTCAGATGTTGCCAGTATATGCGGCTCATGGAGCAGTAACTCTCTCCCTCTGCTCAGAGCTTCTGCTCAGGTTCCTCTAATGTTCTTCCTTTTCCCACTTTGTAAGAATAGTTTGACTGTCATTGCTGATCTCACATGAAAAGCTGAGGTAGGTGTATGATGGAGTTCCACTCTGCACATGTCTTTCTATTAAATCTGCCAAACAGGTGAAGTTACTGCATATACATTGGCTCTTTTTGGGCTTTTTTTTTTTTTTGGTTTAGTGTATTTTTCCAATGGATAAGAATACTTATGGCATCCATCCACTGTTTCAGGTACTTAGACTTCATTGTTACTGAAACACAATATTTAATAGCCGTCTAATTACAGTATTTATGTTCAGTTTGTACGTAAGTTAATTAGTGCCTATTCTGAAGCATTATGGCATGTAGGGGACAAGGAGACAGCTCTCATTCTAATTCTTTTCTCTAGATGGAGATTGGTGTGTAGCTTTAAGCTGTGGATTCTTTATGTCCATGCATACTGCATAGGATCTGAGTGGGTTCTGAGGGGGCTCTGAACAGTCTGAATCGTTACGTTTCATCTAATGTAACAGAACCAGTAAGGTACCTCTCATCACTTTATAGGTAGAGAAACATTCCTTTCTTCAATTCTTTTATTACTCATTATCATATTATACAAAAATACACATATTATGGACACATGTATGCCACTGTCTTAATTAGTGTTATTAATAAGGGTCATTAATTGTACAAGTTAATTAATTATTTCCTTTTATGTTCCAAAACGTGCCCCTATATCAGTTTATTCCACAAAAGGAATGTCTTAAATGTGAAATGTCACATAATGCTGTGGTGCTACTGGATCCTGCTTTGGCTTGTACCAGTGTACCACTTATTTAGTCTTTAGACAGCTCCTGAAATGAAATTTGTTGATTTCAACAGCAAAATGTACTTTGATGGATCATAAAAAAGTTAAAACATCAAAATGAATTAAAACCAGAATCTGTAATGGACATATATCAAAATAAAAGCCAGTTGGTTTCAGCACGTTGACATAATGAAAGAGGGAAAACTTCTGAAACCGCTGAAGCATTACAGACTGCATGGCTCAAGGAACTGGAGAAGATATTTGAAGAGACTGTGGGACAGATGTGGCTGGAATGAGTCAACAAATGGGCCAATTACCTGACTATTGATAATGCTGATAATGTTATAATTGGGTTGGCATTTCTGTCTTGATTCTTGTCTGTCACGTAACTGGAAGACACTGAACCAGTATTGTCAGAAGGAGCTTCAGTTCTTTTCATCACTGCATTTTATTTCTCTTGAATAATGAACTGAAAATAATATCTTACCAATTTGAGCCATTAATGACTTTCAGCTTGAAACTCAAACTTGATATTTTCTTAACAGCTCAGTCAGGCTCAACACCTTTCTTGCTACAGATAGGTTATCTTGCTCAGAAACTGGCTACTTCTGCCATTAATTTTACTTAAGTTTTTTGTATCAGTGATACTAGATTCATCTATTGTCTGTTGACAGCTGAAGTTGTCCCTGCCTTTTCATCTGTAGAAATTATGAACTAGAATTAAAATACACAAACAAAAATTGAATTGTTTTCTAAATTGAACTGAACACAGAAAAGGTTAGTGCATAATATTGTATTGAAGCAGGAGGTTCCCATTCATTTAGTGGCTTCAAATTTAAGATTATTCTTTACATAATTATAAATTACATTTCTATTTATGATACAGAGGTTTCATTAATCCACTGCTCATTTCTCTAACTACCACCAATGTACATAATGGCAGAATATCAGTTGTTAGTGCTTTATATATGTGGAATACATAATTGGAAATGAAGAGTATTCCAGTTGGCCTAGCTAACTACTATCTCTCCAATTTGCACACAGGAAGAGTAAATGAGATTAATGAGCTTGAGAGCAACAGTTTCACCAGTTGGACGGGTTTGGCTTGTAACCCATTTAGAGAGGTCGTCATGACACAATGTCATGAGATATGTAGAAAATGTTTCAGCCTCAAAGTTGTTAAAATTGGAATCGAGTATTATTTCCATTCAAAACTGTAGGTAATGAAATTAATTAACCCTTTTATGACCATGTTCATATAGAGTGTGATTGCAGATTTGAGCCAATTATTTCACAAAACAACAGTCATTGTGCACTATTTAGTGTTGAGGAAAGGAACACTACACTTGCATAGAATACAGTCAGACTTCAAGATGGATGTCACTGGGAGACAGATTACAAAAACCTTTAAGCATTAAGGCCAGAATACAAATGCCAAAGCATTTTCTAGTGTTACAGGGGCGAGAGGGTTACTTCATGTGAGTAAATAAAGTGCCTTTGTCTCACAATTCAATTTATGTGGTATGGCATGTCGTTTGTGCTCTGTCAGAAATATAGTTTAGCTAACAACAGTCAGCTCTGCTCCCATGAAGTGCCATCAGAAAAATGTTGCATTCCCTTGCCATTGCGTTAGAGGGCAGATTCATTCTTGTTGTCGTCATATGTTACTTTCTTGGGAGCTTCATACAGATGATCATAGTTTGGCCTGCGGTGAATAACAAACAACAAATGTAAGGACTTGTGACTGTAGAACTGGCATTGACAAACATAAGCAGAAATGGGGATAATTTTTAGAGATTGTATGTTGACTATATATCAGACAATATATTTATACTCGGAATTATTACGTTTTTGAGCTTTGTCCATCATCTGATATTCTGAAAAGTAGAGAACAGAACGTTTCAGATACTGGACCTGTTTCTATCTTCAGGTGAGGTGGGAGAGACCTACTGGGTTGAGTGCCTGAGAAACAGATCCAGTTTCTGGAACGTTGTGTACTCTAAGTTTTCAGAACACTGGACAATAGACAAAGCCCCAAAACACAGTAATTCTGAGTGTTATACACCATCATCAGAACCCATTACATTTACTAATATTTTTATATTCTGACTTATAGTGCAGAGAGATGCAAGGTCATGAGCCCAGTATTTGATACAATAAAGAACAAGAGACTTAAGTCACTATCTTGAGAGCTGTTTTTTGTTCCCCAAAGGAGTACCACCATCCAGTTTTTTGGGGGGAGAAGGCAGAAAATTTGCTTACAGACTTATGTTTAAGCCTTATGAGATCACTTTTACTGATCACCCTAGAGGATTCAAAGTAGGATAATTTTAACACTTAATTTTTTATTAATATTTGGCATATTTCGTTAGTTTCTTATATTTGTATTTGTTTTAAAAATTGGGGACAGATGCCTAGCTTGACTTGAGCTCTGTATGACTAGGTACATACAGATATGCAATTACTTGACCAGTAGATAAATGTTCCCCAGTATACAGTTGAAGAAGACCTCCCCCCAGTGTGTGTGTTGGTGTTATTTTTGCCCTAGTTTATGTTTGCAGCATCTAAGAAATTTTCTGTCTGCTGAGTTATTTCAGGAGCTACATTTAAAACAGTATTCAGGTGTTCCTATAGAGGATGATTGCCAGTTGTTTATTGCATGTTTATTCAGTTATATTATTCTGTTTCTTTCATAATATCAGATTATAAGAATTATTGCTTTCTGAGATGTGACACTGTGTACTGTGTATGATAGTATAAAAGTACAGCTTTTTGGAGGGTCCTACTGCCTCCATCTTCAGGGTAGAAGATCAAGCCACATGGTGAAATGATGATATAGGTCTAGGGAAAGGAAGAAAGAAAGCGTGGCTGCAAGTGGGGCAGTAGATGACTGGCCTTTATAAGGGTAGAACCTGTACCTCTATTCTTGTTTCGTTGTTCAGCATGCTTTTGTGAATGCAGCTGCCACCTCCAAAATGGTGCGTTTGTATCAGACTACACTGTGTCACATCCTTGACTATGAGAACTTCAGGTCTCAAAACATCTTGGACCAACAGAGAATGATTGCAGACACAGTGATGTATTTGCTTAGTCACTCAAATTGATATAAATATTTTATGCTTCTAGGCAAGGCTGCGCTTTGGATAAATCAGATGTAAGACCTATAAAGATGAAACATGGCATAACTTACTTTATGTCCTTTGATGTATTTGCTCCTGACGCTGACTCGTCATCAGAACTGAAGTCGTCGATGATATCTGCATCTTTGTGGTTGTGCTGCTCACTGGAGAGGTTAAATGAGGGATTATCGTAGCCAATGTTGGAGACACGATTTTGGAAATAGAAGGCTGCACCAACTGTTGGAAAAGTCACAGAGGCTTACTCATGTTTTCTCGTAAGCAAGCAGAATGTTACATACTGTAAATTAACCCACTAGTTGCTATATATGCCTTGCTTAATAGGACCTGTTATCATTTGGCTTTGTGAAGTGGATTACCAGATGACAAGATCTTAATTCAGCTAGAACCTCGCAGTCACATAGGGTATATAAAAGTGTCTTTTTGTTGTGACATCATTCACAGGTGGGACAATTTAGCATTTCCAGGTTGAATAGGTGCCCCTTGAAGTGAAAGTGTCCTGTCACTGTGTTGCTGGCATACTCACATTCGTCTGAGAGTTTGGGTTTCTCATCACAGGGAACAGTGAGCGTGTTTGGTGAAGTTGTGATGTTCTGATTTACTGGTGCTTTGTCATAGGTATCATGATAGAAATCTGTCATTGGTGGAACCTCTTGGTATGAGTTGGATATCCAGGAATCAGTGCTGGCAATGCTCACATTTTCGAATGGACCATAGTGCATTGTAGTTCCTTTCCTGAAAAAAAAAACAGCAGGCTGTTCTAATGGTATTGCATTTACGAGAGACCCCTTTGGGATAATACTGTTCTGATAAGTAGAACTCGAACTTCTCACGGCAATGAAAAGTAAGGTTACATCTTCCAGGATGCTCCACTGTATGGTTTGGGTAAACTGTGAACATGGAGGGAGCAGGTTCTTTTGAAACACTGATACCCATGGTGTTCATAAGTCCTTCCAGACAGATGCTGGGTTGTTACTGTACCCTCAAATAGGCAATGGCTACCTCCTTACAAATTCTTCTCTAGCTGATATTCGTAACTATCTTGGCATCTGCTTTGTTGCCACACAATGTCTGAAGTCCTAACACTTATTTGGTAACGTAAGGTCAGTCACTGAGCAATGTGAAGGCTATCATTATCTTTCCAAAGGCCATAATGAATATATATGCCCGGGATCTTAGTGGTCTTTGCTAATAGTTATTGCTTAGATGATAAATTTTGGCAGTTCAAATTTGGATCTATCTACTGAAATAGAACTCTGTTTCCTTCATCTTGTTTTGACTGCTGCAACCAAGAGTAGTTAACAAATAAAAGAATAAGGCAGTGTGGGAATGTTTTGAGAGTGAATAAAGACAATCCCAAAGAAGGTTTTGAACATGAAAGTAAGAGGAAGGCACAACCAGGATCAAGATGGGAACAGCTGCTTAGGAAACATATAACACAGAAGGAAGGAGGAACTTTGGGAGACAGAGGTAGTAGGAGCAGCAAGGTTGCTAGATGACCAGCGTAAGAGTGGAAATGTTGAAAGAAAAAGAAGAACAAAAATCCTTAGATTTCATTTCCTTCCAAATATCCTGGTGCCACAAAAGCTCCTGTTCCTCTGTCAGCTTTGATTCCTGTTCTTCCTGATCCATTTTGGAGTTGATTTTAGTGATCGGTTAACTATTATTTGTGTACTGATTTTTATCTGACATTAATTGTAAAAGGTCTTGGTGCAGATTCTGAGTATGATTTAAGGCAGATGACTGTCCTGTCAGCTTTAGGACTTTTGGGTTTAATAATAAAATTTTATTCTGCTGGTCTTTGGTGGGGGAGACTTGTCTTTATCTACAGTATTGTTTATATGTGCAATATTGTTTCATATCAAGGGATGTTTTAAGATACTCGTTTTATGGGTAATTTGTAGTTTCAGTTGCCTGGAAGTTAAGGGATTTTTATTATGGAAGTAATATCTTTGCTTTATTGGTATTTTTCACCAGCAAGTGAAATGTCATGGGCAAAACCCCATTAATTGAAAGACCATGGCACCAAAACTTGTAGGCTTTCAGAGAAGTAGATTTAAACTTAAAGGGCTGGGATTGTATGCTATATAACCTGTGCAGTTGATAAAGCAATGATAAACTTAAATATGGGAAGAGACAACTGCTGCTGACACTGACAACTGCTGTTGTTTCTGCTGTAGGTTGGGTTGTCTTGGCAGACTTACTTGTTGCTGATGTTCAAGAGGTTGAGACGCCATGCAGTAACCATGAGTAGCGTGAAGATGGCTGCCACACCCAAAAAGATATACAGCCAGAGGTGTAGTGTCTCTTCAATATCTGGGACCTGGTATACCTGCACAAAGTAATGTGTGAGTCATATATTTCTTTTTGTTTGCTGATAGAGCAGTTTTGTGACTCTTCATTTAAACTCTTGGTAGGGAGATACATCATTCTGAGTCATCTAGCTAGCTTGTGGCAGTTGCATGCTGTCAGTGTATAATTTCTTTGTGTTGCTGTCCTTTGATTTCCAAGTGCATGTGCTGATGGGCTAGGAAAAATGACAGATCATGGGAGCCATAGTGCTGATGTAAGAGGCCACTCCATACACAGCAGCAGGCCTAGTAAATGCTCACATAAGGGGTTCAATAAAATCAGCAAAGATGGGATGAATTTTAAGTTTATGTGGCACTCATCGAGCCAGTGTGGAACATCGAAGCAAGGACTGTAAGGAGGACTAATGAGAGAAAGTTAATAGCAGATGAAATGTGTTTCATGAGACAGCAGATTACATCCTTTTTTACCGAAAGAATAGTATCAAAAATCTTGAGACAGTTATAAATGTCACTGGTAACAGAGCAGATTTAAGAATTCCTGACACTCTGACTGCAAGTATCATTGTCAGGACCAGTGAAAATTTTTAATTTAATTTATACTGTACAAGCAGAAGTCTCCATTCTGTATCCAGGATATGGGCTCTTTCATTGTCAGTATCAGTATACAGTAGTTATACCTTTAAGGAAGGAATAACACTAAAATTAAGACATTGAAGTTCCTCATGTAATTAAAAATAGAGACTGGAAATTACGATTCAGATCACATCCAGAAACTCTGCTGCAGTGCGTGTACATCACTTAATACGTACTGCTCACAGTATGGAGCAAATTTTATCATATCTTTGTATCTTCTCTGTTAGGACAGCCGTTGGAACAAGAACTGAAAAGTTTAGTAATCATCTTTACTTTGAGATTGTTGTGTGCCTGCTGTTGTGTTTATGTGATCGCACATTTACTTTCTGGGGATCTGCAAAAGCAATTATGGTTCTCCTGTCTTTCAGTATTCTTCGCCTCATAAATCTGATACCTTACCGACAAACTGATATTTGGCAGCATTGTATTTGCATACATATTCCACATTTCTTCAAGACTTCTTCTGGTGAGTTCATAAGCGTCTGCATTTATCACATGCACTGGCACAGTCATGTTCACTTTTGTGCAAGTTTCCCAATTAGGCCAGGTCCTGGGGCACTCAGTAATCAGTGACAGTCTGACATTCTCTCTCCTGAAACATTGAACACACACATGTATGTAGCTAATCGTAGAATTCAAATTCTCAGAAAGTAAGTTTACATAGCATATATTGTCTGAAGAGTTCTCTGTATAGTCTATCAAAATCAACAAGATCTGAAACTGTATGCTCTTCATAACATGCAGAGGATGTTGTGAGCATGATAATGAATCATCAGGTTCCACAAAAGGCAGGGAATTTCTTGACTAGCTGAGCAACTGTTCACTTCCTAAGGAAGACTCTGTTCAGTTGAGTTCTTTATAATACTTCTTTATTTTGTAACCAGGCAGGTGTAGGGTCAGAGATGTAGTGCCTAGCCTAAAGTCTGATAATGTGATAGTGTGCTGCCTGGTCACAGCTACTCCACACCTCAAGGCACAGTGATAGATCAGTATGGAGTCATGATGGAATGGTGACTGGCAAGGAAAAGCCAAAGAGCCTTGGAAAGAAATCCTATTCTAATGCCACTTTATCCACAAAAAGATTCACATGAAGTCATCTAGGATTGAACCTGGACATCAATGGTGAGAGGCCACTTCTTAGCCACCTGAGCTGTGGCATGGCATCATGGAGTTACTCAGATATTGGCTGTAGCTTACGTTGTTGAGTTTTGAGTTGAAATGTCCTTGCTCTCACAGTAATTAGTTGCCATCTTAGCTACGACATCTTTGAATGGAAGTATTTTTGTGCTGTAAAACTGAAACAGACCAGTCACAAGCAAGTTAATTGTAGGTATTTACTTTATCACTTTCCTTATCCTGATGTACCCTTTTACTGACCAGTGCCATGGATTTAATGAAAGGACACACCATTTACTCCATTACTCTTGACTGCTTGACACGTGTTCAGGAGGTGTCTTGTTCATATCTCGGCCTGAACACTGACTATCCTGGCTGAGGTTTCCATGGTTTTCTTTGGTCCCCCAGGCAAACGCAAGGATAGTACCTTGAAATAGATCTTGACCACTTCCTTCCACATTCTTTGCAATTCATCATTCATTAGTCATTCAATCATTCAGTACTGTACAGTGTGAGTCACTGAAACTGCCGTTAAATAAACAGTAAATAAAATCAATTCTTCAGCCTTTGTTAACTCTTTAAACCGCAATGGTAACTGTAGGTTCCCCAGCTTTAATGTTAAAAAATGTTGATTTTTGCTCACAGAATGTATTAATCTGTTTCATATGATTCTCACAGTAAACTAATTATTTCCCTAAACAGCTGTAACTACTTGTAGTTTGTGTTTGTTGTGAAGGTGTTTTATGCCTTCTGTGAGTAGGAACAGAATTTTTAAATATTATTTAGATGAACTTCAGGCTTCGGAAGTGTAAAACTACTTCAGAGTAAGTCATGATTGCTTCCTGCCACCAAACTAATTAGTTTTAGATGTCTGTCTCGTATCTGGGAAAATCACATTCTGACCAGTCAGGTCATAAACAGTACTTTAGAACATCACATTCAGACCTGTTTTGTCACAGGCAGTCAGGTATTACCTGGTTTTCCTTGTTCCTTCCAGGTAAATGTCACGATGGTCCAGAAAGAAACCACGGCCACTTAATTAATCATTCGTAGTTTGCCATGTTTGAATTTAAAGTGGTGGGCATTAAACATCTTGAGTCTACTGAGTTTCTTTCCATGTATAACTGTTCTGTAATATCTACAGTTAATGCAGTGTCATTATGTGGCACCTCTCATTTTCCTTCTTGTCCCTATTGACAGTCTTTACATATATAACTGCTGCAGTTGCCTCACCTGATAGGCACCTATGCCACTCACATATATACTGATGTCGGAGTCGATATGTGAGGGAGCTGTGGGAAGTGTAGTGTTTGGCGTTGTGGTGGGAGGCTGTAGTGTTGTCTCACCTGTAATGGCATAAAATAGTATTAGACAAGAACTTGTTGCCAGAACTTATAATACTTACTTTGCTGTAAATGCTTCATTGCTTTTGGTGAGGCTGTGACAAAGTTACCCATATGCATAATTAAGCAGTATGTCATGAAGACAGATGGGGGAGTGGAAGTGTAGGTCCACATATTCTTAACTTCAGCACTAGATGGAATAGAGTGGTCACCTTTACACCCTGGCCACTTTACCCCCAGGAAGAGAGATGCCTGATAATCCATTTTGTAGAGTCTGGATGGACACCAAAACTGGTCTGGTAGGTACGGAGAAGAGAACAATTTCTTGCCACTGCTAGGAATCAGACCTCAGTTCCTCAGCTGTCCTGCCTGTAACCTGTCACTATACCAAATGAGCTATCCTGGCTCAGTATCAGATGTGTATACCATTTTGATTGGGGGAACTGAGGGCAAGAGACAACATGATAGACGTGTATATAGATGGGGGCTGGTATTAAATTGGATGTTGGAGATGCTGTTTGTGATTGCCTGATCTGAACTGGCTCGGTGTAGGGTTGAAAGATGTGCTTTTAAGTTTCATAACAAGGAAGTTCCGTGAGCAGCTGAGCAACTATCAGGTGCTTATGGAATCCCCTGTCTTGTGGACTTTAGTCCCTCATTTTGTTAAAATAAGGGAAAAGTTCAAGATAATTTCTTGAGATATGTCAACGTACCAGAAGCCTTGTAGGATAGGTGGAAGCCGCCGTCCTTCCTAGATTCATTAGTAATTCTTTCCTGTATTACTAGCAGCAGAGTAATTTCATTGTGGTCCATTACTCGAATCAGTTTTGTTGTATTGATGATACCGGTGAGGACAACACTAGCTTCATCTCGCACCAGTGAAGGGCCTGTGATATAGATGTATANGAGACTAGCTCTTTCTAAGGGGCCCAACTGAGTAGGTTTATCCTTCCCTATCCACCTGAAGATGGAGACAGATCCAGTCTCCGAAACGTCGTGCTTTTTTTTTTGTCTCTTTGTCTTTTACTTACCAGACGATGGGTGAAGTCCAAAATAAGCCAAAAGAAGTACATGTATAGTGTACTTGAAAAGAGTTACATTGTGTATAGACACTTTGGCAAAGTAGTGTCTGAGCAGGTACATAAAAATTATGTAAAATACTGGTTCAGTGAGCTGGGAACTACAAATAGTGGCTCATAAGACTTTGGGTGGTAGAGATAGAGGTATAAAAGTTGCAGAAATGTGAACTTTAAGACATTTTCTACAATGCCCTGCAGAAAAATTGGCACCACAGCTTCAAAAACTGGTACCTTTTTTCCTGTTCATGTTAGTTATTTATGTTTAACATTTCTAGGCTCCTGGACTCATGTAATCTTTGCAGTGTCCAGAATACAGTTATACAGTTTGTATGGGCAGGCTGTGTAAGGAAACATGTATTCCTGCACTAAAGTGGCCTGACTGTCTTAAGAATTTCTCATGCATAAAATTGTAGAACACTATAATTACTGGAACACATAACTGAGTTACCGTAAAACAAACAAAATTGGAAGCACATCAAGCCAGGATCTAGTGTAAACATATTTTGTTTCCATGGTTTTCTTTGGTCCCCCCAGGCAAATGCAAGGAAAATACCTTGAAATAGATTATGACCACTTCCTTACACATCCTTTGCAATTCATTGTTCCTTAGTCATTCAATCATTCAGTACTGTACAGTGTGAGTCACTGAAACTGCCATTAAGTAAACAGTAAATAAAATCAATTCTTCAGCCTTTGTTAACTCTTTAAACCGCAATGGTAACTGTAGGTTCCCCAGCTTTAATGTTAAAAAATGTTGATTTTTGCTCACAGAATGTATTAATCTGTTTCATATGATTCTCACAGTAAACTAATTATTTCCCTAAACAGCTGTAACTACTTGTAGTTTGTGTTTGTAGTGAAGGTGTGTTATGCCGTCTGTGAGTAGGAACAGAATTTTTAAATATTCTTTGGATGAACTTCAGGCTTCGGAAGTATAAAACTACTTCAGAGTAAGTCATGATTGCTTCCTGCCACCAAACTAATTAGTTTTAGATGGCTGTCTCGTATCTGGGAAAATCACATTCTGACCTGTCAGTTCATAGACAGTATATAGAGAAGGTTATGTATGCACTGACCTATAACCTATACGTATAAGAGCAGTACTCAGTGTTCAGTGTTCAACATTACAACACCCGCAACCAAACGGAACACACAACACGAGACATGATATACACTGAGAGTAAGAGGAACGACTCCCATAGTGGTGGAACTATGCGCGGTGTTAGAATTGGGACAGATAAGATAAATAATCTTAACAAGTTTTTACTATATAAATATTTATTATAATTGACGAACATTTTTAAATACTTTTTAAATTTTACGGTGACGTAATGGCAAGCAATGCAATAGATTAACGTAAATGGAGCACCTGATGATGGCACTATAGTGCCGAAACATGTTGTGAAATAACAAGTGAAATTGAGTGCACTAAAAGATGGACACTGCATACATAACATGGAGAAAAACAAAGCACTAGATTTTTTTCTAAGTGAAAATCTCTTAACTGAAGTGCCAAAGGAATCAGTAAAGTAAAAAAAGTAAAGCTATCCCTGTAACAGGCCATGAAGGCCCATAGGCTTGTGAGATGTTGAGGGTCTCACATTATCTAGACAATCAGCTCAAAGATGGCGGTAAGGTTGTCAGCCTTACGTGCCATCCGCACTTTACTCCCCAGGAAAATTATTTAATTAATTCCTGGTACTCATTTCTGTTAGAGGCTGAGTCGACCCCAGGGCCATAGTGCAGCTGGAAGGATTAGGTCAATTGAAAAAAATCCAATGACCTCATCAGGACTTGAACCCATGACCTTCTGGCTTGTAGCATAGTGCCTCAACCAACTTTGCTACCACATGCCCCTGTGCCAAAGGAGTTCTTTTAAAAATTAATTTTCAGTTGAAGAATTGCTTGTGAAGGCTTTGTATCTAATAGCCTTTCAAATCTATCACATATCCTATCCCTGTGTAATTCTAATGGCCCACGGCATAGAATCCGAATAATTTGCTGATTCACATTGTAGTTCAGGTTGGAAGCACTGCTCTGAATGAGTTAAGCGTAAGCATATTATCCTTGGTTTATTACAGTGCTCAAATTCCCATTTTGTTTTGGAACACCTGCATTTGGCTATTGTCATGGACAATTTTTGCTCGAGAATCATTGTACTGCACTGTCATGTCATAATGAAGTAGTCCTTGTTGCCAGTCATCTTTTACCTGGGCTGATGATTAAGAAGTCCCCGGCAGCTTCATCTAAATCCAAGTAGTTGATAGTCACATCCATATCGTAACCACTGACCGGTGGTACGTACCACTTGAGTATGTTGCACACTTCAGCAGAAGAGATATTGTTCAAGGAGAAGTTTACAGTGCCTTCATCTGTTATCTCTTGTTCACAAGCTTTGTCTTCAGTCACATCAACTAGGTACAGAATGATGAATATGGTATGTATAACAGACACCATAATGATATAGAAATGTTTTGTTGGAATGGCCAAATTAGAGTTCAGTTCCTAACGTATAGTAAATTTTCTTCAATATAAGTCCTCCACTGCTGAAAACAGTACTGTTTCATACCTCCCAAATATGTGATATCATAAATCCATCCCGATTAAACTAAACAAAACATGAGAAATCTCTTGATCAGTTTTCACTATACTGAAGCAGTAAACATGCATATAGAAAGAATGTTGCTTAGCTAAAACATTAATCTCTGAAGGACTGGAAAAGGTAATCTATAATATAACTTGTGAAAGCTACCAATATTTTTTTAGATTTTGATCTGTATACTTACTTGCATGCCTACCTAATTATTTATTGGATATTTGGCCTTCTTTATGACAGACAGGTGTCATTCTGCTGTGTTATTTACCTTTTGCCTACATCTCTTCCCTTTCATGCCCCATAAATCATTCTCTGCATCTTTCAGCCATCTCAGTCTTACCTTCTGGCTTACTTTAAAAAATTTTCATAGCTGCCCATGTTTGATCTGTTGTGCCCCAGCTACTTCAGCATCTCTTTTTAATATCTGCTACCATATCAGGGGATTCATGTAAATCCTTCAGCTCTGGAGTATTTATGATTCGCCAAATTCCTTGCTCAGTTACTGGTCCATACTACCTTCCCCAAAAGTTTCCTCTTTTATTTGCTTGCCTTTGCAGTTTGCGAAAACATTTTATCAGCATGACTTCCTGCCAGATACCATTTACTGTTTGTGTGTGTAGTCATTGCATCATATTTATTCAGTTATCTGATATGTGGCATCTGCCTAGGCTATGTAGTGTGGAATGGTATGCAGCAGTATGGTTGTGAATGGCCATTAGTAATGGTAGGCACAAATTGGTCCTGCTATAGTATAAGCTACTACTAGATGTGCTATTAAAAAGACTTAGAATGTCAGAAAATTCAATATGCAGGGATGTTAACTCATTTTCCCACATACATACAATGTTTTGCATCAGAATTCTCCACCACAGATTTAAACCCCTCTTAATGTCTCTCGGTGTCAGGATGGACAATCCCCAGAACTAACTAATTAACTCCATTGTGCAGAGTTCATGTTGAAATCCTAGTAGTTGCTCAATTAGTCAAGAAATTCCCAGCACTTTATGGAACCCAAAGATTCATTACCATGTCACAAGAGTCTGTTATTGGCCCCGCTTTGAGCCAAATGAATCCAGTCCACACTCTCCCATCCTATTTCTTTAAGGTCCATTTTAATAGTAACCTTCCATCAATGCATGGATCTTCCAAGTGATCATTTTTGTCAGATTTTCTGACTAAAACTCTGTATGCATTTCTCTTACCTCCCATGCATGCTATATGCCCCACCCATCTCACCCCCCTTGAATTGATCATCTTTTATCATTATTATTATTATTATTATTGCTAGTGGGGTGGGACTAAGTCCCTTGCACTGCGGCCACTTCTGGCCTATTGTACCAGCCCCAGATGATAGGTGAGGGTGATTGTGGAGCAATTGGTGGAATGAAGATTGGCAGGGGAAATCGAAGTACTCGGAAAAAAACCTGCCCCAGCGCCACTTTGTCCACCACAAATCCCACTTGACAGACCCGGGATCGAACCCGTGCCGCCGCAGTGGGAAGCCAGCAACTAACCGCTTGAGTTATGGTGCGGCCCAATTGATTATCTTAGTAATATTTGGTGAAGACTGCAAGTTGTGAAGATCCTCACAGTGCAGTTTCCTCCAGTCTTGTTATTTTGCCCCCTTGGGTCCAGATATTCTCCTCAGCACCCTGTTCTCAACTACCCTCAATCTGTATGAGAGACCGAGTATCGTGCCCGTAGAAAATAACAAATAAAACTGTAGTTTTGTATATGTTGAGCTTTTCATTTTAGATAGAATGAAGACAAAAGATTCTAAACTGAATGATAACAGGGACACTCTGAATTTAATCAGTTCTTGATTTCTTCATGAATGCAGTTTTGATTTATTGGTGGTGTTTCCAAATATTCAAACTTTTCAGAGATCTGTTAGCTATCTTTATGGTATGTGCCCCTTCCATCTATCCCCAATCATTCACTTTACTGACATATGGATGATACAGAACATTTCAAATAGGTGTCAGACTACTTCGCCAATCATATTGTATGAGATTACTTGTCTAGCTGAGTGTAAACTACAGAACTTAAATAATTTTACATGACTACTGTAGCACTTGCTTTAAATTTTAGTTCTGTTTAAATTGTGGCATTGTTTTTACCCTGACTGTCCAGTCTGTTGAACCAGAATTTGTTCTTGTAGTCGCTGGGATGCCAGTAGTCATCATCTTGCAGGAAGTCATCCACAGCCTCTGTGCAGTAGATATTCATTTTTACAACCTTGCTCAAAATGTCACAAAACAGTCACTGGTTAGAACATATATAGACAGTGGAAAATAATCTGTAATATGACTTTCACATATATGTTCGGAGTAAGAAATGATGAGAGGATCCTTGCTGCTTACTAACCTCTTGGTTGAAGGCGACTTGTTCCTACGAAACATCCGTTTACTTCCAACATACTGCACGGTGTTATAACTGTCAGTACTAAATTTCATGAAAATAGGTCAGCTGTTGGATGAAGTATTGATGTCATGTTAGAATCTGGAGATGGATAGGCTAACAGGTTCTGGAATCCCAAGGCTGATGGCGCAATTGTATGTTGTTTACAGTGAATTTGTTTGAATTCACTTACCGGCACAGAAGCAGCTGGATGTGGATGCAAACGCCAAGAAGATACAAATAAATTTCATTTATGATGGTTCATTCACAGAATGTAGCAGGTCCTAAATGGCTGGCCACATCTGTCGCAAATAGGAAACCGTGTTTGATAAGATAACATACTGATAAGAAGTGTGACATCACAATGCCAGTAAATTCACTGATTTTATCAGTACATCATATATAGGTTTTATCTGCTTCACAGTTTGCATATGTAGCAGATAGAAGGAGAGTACTTCACTCTGTCATGTGTTTTGGGATCTTTGCAGAATGAGGAGCACCATTTGGTGCGGGCTGTGATGGTATTATAACAGAGAAGACCACAGTATCTATCTTCAGTAGAACCGATAACAAAACCCAGCATTGAATGCGACACTGGGTCACTTCCATCTGCTTCTTATTGTCAGCCTATAGGCTTAAACTCAAGCTTAATGGTATCATTTGGGGTTTTCTGAGAGGTTTCCACATAAAAATTCAGTGTGCATTTCTTTTTTCCCCCTCACCCTGAGAACATTACCAGTTCATTGTAGCCTCTTGGGATTCAGTTCCTGGCAACAAAAGGTGACCTCCATAAATTGCGAACTCCTGAGTCATCCATTTCCTTCATGCTTCTCAGTCCTGATTACAGGCCACATTCATTATTTTAAAGCATTGACCTTATAACACAATAGTAACTGAAGTTACAGGAAACATTTTGCTTTACAGGAGTGTCCAGACGTCTCAGTTGCTTTATCTGATATCGCAGTCAGAACCAACTAAATGCCGCAGGGATTCTTCTGATGAATGCTATGCCACACATTCTTCTCAAGACACCATGTCACATCCACAGCAGAACACAGCAGCTGCTTTAAAGAGGCTGATGTACCAAGGGTAAGTGTCAACTTCTAAACATTTAGATATTTTCCATCATATCATGTGGGTTAAAGAAACAGTGTATTACTCGGGAGGCAAGTTCAGCTTCTTGTGTAAAGTGAGAGTATGAAACCTGCTCTGTTGGACCCATTAAATGGAACTGCTTTCTATCCTCAGACCCAGGAGACGATTGAATAATTGCCATTAATTACAAAATCGTAGGATGTGTCATTTAGAAGTAATGTATCTTGAAGTAAGGTTACTTCTTGTAAGGCCGTCCACACTTATCACAACAAATTCTTTTAACTTTTCTATCAGACACATTACAGCTCTTCAGCCACCTTCAGTGTCGCATAGGTCATAGTTTTGTAACGACTACCACGTGTGTGATTGTAATGTACTATATCCTCTCCACTCCCCCTTGATGTATATCTCTTTGTTTAGTGGGAGTTCAGAAAGTTTGTTATCTTGATTATTTTTTATTTATGGTCAATCTTTCTGTATTAAATTTTGTATATTTCACTGTACAGACAAGGAGCACGTCATGTCCTCACATGAGTTGCAAAGTGCATTCATGTTTATGGAATTTTCGAAAATGTATTATACCAGGTAAACTGCACTAACTTTGTCACTTGAACAATAAATACTGGTATTAGAAACAGTAAGTAATATCGTTTTCCTGTCAACAATTTTGGAACTGTGCAGTGAAGTAGTCTATCAGGGAAACCATTAGGAATAGGATGTACACACACTTTTTGTTTAGAATGAGTGATACTGTGACCTCCTAGAATATTGACCTTTCCTCCTAAACACTCTGTGTATGTATAAGTATGGGAAAATTCAGTACAGCATGTACTTAGTCTTGCTTTGCTGATGGGTGACATAAGCACAAGTTGAGAGTGTGGTACTAGTAAATTATTTCTGTGCTGTGTGTACCATATCAAAAACATAAGTTTTTTGTAAACTCATCATTCAGCTGAAGCTTAAGACATACACATTTTCAGTGTTTTAAAAGTTCATCAGTAGCAGGAATTTCTTGACTAGTTGAACAGCCATTGACTTCTCAAGCAGGGCCATGCTGCATGGAGTTATTCGCCTTAGCTGACATAAGGACTTCGTAAAGGTGTTGTATGTTTCGCGTGTAGAACTCTGCACTGTCTCATATCTAAGTTTGTCTGTGCAGTGTAGTTAGTTAGTTATTGGAGAGAGTGGGTTTCCCCATGCACTTAGACCAGTATTGGTCCATTGTGCTTCCCTCTATGATATTCTACCTGTCTCTATACCCTGCCGATATTGGTGCGTACCATCAGTCCCGACCAAGCCAGCGAGTTCGGCCTCTACTGGCTTAGCGGTATCTATAATGCTTCCCCCATCTATCAGAGGCGTTAGAGACTACTGTTGGGCGGGAAATGTCCTTGAATTTGGCTCAGTGACCTCCTTTGGAGCTATGAGGTTCTTTTACGTGCCGTAAAGCTACGACACGGGACCCATGGCTTTAAGTCCCTCCTGGAGGACATGTTCCCTGAATTTTTCCGCCCTTAAAAATTCCACGACCTCCGCCGGGTTTGAACCCGCGTACTACGAGTCATGAGGTGAGAACGTTACCTCTAGACTACGGAGGCTGCTTGTGCAGTGTAAACTATACACCAAATATTGTAGATGATCATGGAATTTCAGTCTCATGGCATGTGGGAGTTTTGCAGCACACCTCTCAATCTTGTTACAGTTGAAAATATCAGTTTTTTTTTTCTTGTGGATGCCACATTGCTTTTGTAGAATGCCTTGAAAATGACAGCTTACAGCCAGTTCTCCAGTGTTAAACTGTATGGCACATAATATATATATATTAGCTGGGGGTAACTAAGCCCTCAGGCACGTCTGTGTTGTCACGTTTGTACTTTCAGCACTTTTTAAGCATTTAAATTTACAGCCTTGAGACTGAGATATGGTGAAACCCCGTTTAAGGATTCTTTGGAGGAAGCAGTGGATTTAGACATTGAATTATTGAGGAAATTTAACGCTTGAGATTGCATCCTTTGGATCAATGAAACTAAATTTTAAATGAGAGAAATTTGAGAACTGAGGAACAAAAAATGGGGGTTCCATTGTCCTGCCCAGTAAGGTAACCTTCCAATCTAAGAAGTTTTCAAGCTTCATGTTAAAGTTACAAATAAGTGTGGATTACCTGAGGTATTGTTGACTGTACAGTGTTTGTGTCTGGCTTCCAAAAGCTGACAGAGGAGGGGTTGGGAATGTAGAGTCCCACTCACAGTTGTAACAATTACTTTTCAGGACAGGCAGAGGAACAGGTGCATCGTCGTGGCCTGAAGGAGAGAACAGGACAGCAGTTAACATGGGCTTTCAGGCAGTGGAAATTCTACATGGACAAGGTAAATTTTCATGCTTAAATATATGAAATTTAATAACTTGTAGTGTAGTTGGTTGAGGCACTTTTGCTATAAGCCCCAACATCATGGGTTCAGTTTCCAAAGAGGTCATTAGATTTTTCAGTTGACCTAAACTTTCAGCCACACTATGGCCCTCAGGTTGACTGAGCCTCTAACAGAAATGAGTACCATGAATCTTCTTGAGGGGTAAATGGTGGTTGGTAAGGCTGACAATCTTGCCACCATCTATCAGCTGATTGGATAGCAAGTGTGGGATCCTCGATGTTTCACAACCCTATGGGTCCCTGTAGTTTCTTACAGGGACAGCTTTACCCATTGGCATTAAATTGAAACCATGATCAGTGAGAATGTAATGAATAAAAGAGTATTCAGGCATCTTATAGTGGAATCTGATTAACTGTAGTCATGAAGGTTCTAAAATTATAAAGTAAGTAAACGTATCCCTGTAACAGGCTGTGGAGGTCCATAGGGTTGTGAGATGTTGAGGTTCCAACATTTTCTAGACAATTGGCTCACAGATGGCAGTAAGGTTGTCAGCCCTACGCACCGGCCGCCCTTTACCACCAAGAATATTCCTGGTACTCATTTCTGTTAGAGGCTGAGTCGACCCCAGGGCCATAGTGCGGCTGGAAGGATTATGTCTATTGAAAAAATCCAATCGCTGTATAAAAGGCTTTGTTTCCTCCATGCAGTAACTTGTGTGCATCAACTTGCACAACCTTTGAGTTACTTATAGTTGTAAAAGAGAGGTAAGGTTGTCCCCGTGCTTAACGAATTAAGCCCTATGGCATGAAGGCGTATGGGGAGTGGATGTATAGATCCACATTTTCTTGACCACCTGGAGGTGATGAGTGGTCAGCTTCACACACCCGCTGCTTTACCCCAGTACCCATTGGATAGGAGGTTGGACGATTTGGAGAAGAGAAAATTCTTGACCCTACTGGGATTTGAACTCTGATCCCTCAGTCGTGCAGCCTGTAGCCAGTCACAATACCGACTACGCTACTCCAGCTCCTCATTTATAGTTGTAGCAAAATGAAATATTTTCAAAATTAATTTTTTTCGTAGTAGTGCAGAAACAGAGTGGTAAAATACGAATTAGAAAGGTATTTTGTTGTGAGAGTATTTATTTGTTGAAATGTAAAATGCATTATACAAATAGCAGAGTTAATAATAAAACTTGAAGAGTACTATCTTCTGGGATGTGGTGCCATGTACTGTCCTAGAAGCTTACTGATGACATGCTGAAGGAAAATCAGTAAACTTCTGCCAGAGTACGCTGACTCACACCCCAGAAGACAGTAATCTTCATAGCCATCAAATCAAATAGTACTGACATTTTAAAAATATTTTTCTTTGCAGGAGAACCATGAGAATGACAGAAGTTTCGACACTGGAGAGGATATGACTGGATCCAGCACGATTTGCGCGCATCAGGGGTTCAGCGTTCCTGCAGCATCACATTCCTCATGCTTCAACTTCTTTTTCAAATACACACACACACACATTGTAATTGTTTGTACAACAATGAAGACACAAAGACAAAAGAAAACTTTATTTTTTCAGTAATTAAAAAGTGAAAATTACAATTAATTGTATGTAATAAATTAGATTAGAAAATAAAGTATTGATGTGTTGTGATTGTACAATGCAGAAGTGAATTGTGTTGTTGAAGAACAAGAAGTTTTGGAGATGGAAGAAATTGCTCTAAATGCATTCCTGTGACATTGAAAGAACACATTGCATACACAACGCATAAATGCTAAAGCTTGCTGTAAATCTGACAAAGAGACTACATGTTCCCACAGTACACACAATGAAAGTTGATATTTGAGATGGAATTTCTTGGCTGAGTGACTTATCACCTTCTCAAGAAGGACTCTGCTCCAAGGAGTTATGTTTAAAAAATTTATTGGACGTTTTCTGTGTGGTAAATATTTAATCAGATAAGCACATTGCATCTTCTTCAAAACTGTAGTTACAAGAATGGGGCAGTGATTCTAGATCTGTACACGGAACTTACAAATCAGTGGTGCAGCCACTTGCCCACGGATTTTTCTACCCTGAAGATGGAGTCGATACGCTCCTCCGAAATCACTTTCACATATGTCTTACAGGAGTGTTAGAAGTTACAAACGTTTGTAAAGTTTTTGTGTACATGTAAAATGGACTCTGTATGGTTGCAACTTACCTCTCTTTTCCTAGTTTTTATCAAATAAAGTACAGCCAATGATATCTCTTTCGCAAAACTCATCCTGTAAACTGTGGCTCCCATATCTGCATACAGTATCAGCATGTGACAATTTGGATTAATTGACAGTGGGCTTTTCTAAACACCTGGTAACTTGAAAAACTGATGTCTACTTAGATGTGAAGTCATGTAGACTGGTAGAATGTTACCACCACTTTGGAGGAACATGTAAAGTGATAAGACCCTGAAGATGGAGGCCTCTCATTCCTCAGAGATGTTGGTAACATTCTACCAGCCTACATGGTGTCACATCCCAGAAGACTGAAATCTTCATTGTTACAGGCATATTCCTATGGAAGATCTTAGCTGAAGACTTGTTCGCTTAGAGAGTATACATTGTAATTGCACATACAGGGAATACACAGTCATGAGTAGATAACAGTTGGTTTTGATTTGACATGGGAGTTGGGTGTAGGAATTGAGAACTGAGAGTTGCCTGTTCCGTGTTTGTCGATACTTCTGAATTGCATGGCGACAGTGAGGAGGCTACAGCTGGTACTAGGAATGAAGAGTACAGCATTCTGAGTTGTAGCAACATGTAGTTTGGAGGTAACATATTCTTCCTAAACATTGGGCCATCTCCAAACTACATGTTGCTACAACGCAGGACCCTGAACTACTTATAGACATTGCCATGAAAACATCAAATCAGACATGGTACTCAGAATGTCTGTGTAAGATACGTAAGTTTCTGTCTGATTGCAGAGGTAATTTAAGTATAAATTTGATGGGAACTGCTGCAGCTTTGGGGGTTGGTGGGGAAATGTTAAGGCATTTTTCTAATTGGTACAGTTAGAAATTTCTTGGCAGCTAATTCCTCGATACTCTGACAAACCATAGTGGACAGTACAGGCATCGTATTGATGTAGAATTCTGTAATACAAGTGTATGGAAGTATGACTGCCATAACTTGGCTGAAGTAAAGACAGATGGGTTGCAGCATAATGAAAGCAATATAAATCACTTTGTTGAATTGTAACATAATCCTTGAGATGGTACTTGAAAATTCTGTTAGGGTTTAGAATGCTTGACAGTTTATGACTCATTGTTGCAAGATATCTTATATTCATTGTATCCAAAAATTATATAAACTGAAGCAAATATAATAATTCTGATGTATGTGAGGATCCATATAGGTCAGTCGACTACTCTGATGCAGGAGAGATTGATCCGCCTCTGAGTCTTGCATTGTCACAGGAAAATGCAGATCAGTATGGGCAGAACATTAATGTCCCGAATGGAGTTTCAGGCCAATTGTAGGTTGCCTGAGACTGTATGCATCTATGACAATTAAGCCACCTGGTTCAGCCTTCATCCTTGCTGATACATATTTCTGCTTTACAGTGTGCTGTCAGGAAGGACCAGAATTTAATGACCGCAACTGAATGCTGATGGCTTTAATACAACTAATAAAGAATTAAAAACAAGTAAAGTTGTCCCTGTGCTCAGTGCAGCACCGCACTCAGAATATGTACAGGGTGTAAATAAAATGAAGTATATGAGAACATACGAAACATCTGACATAAAAGAGTCGCATTGTAAATGCGGTTAACAAATAATTTGAAAATATTTCAGAATTTTAATATGTGGGATGAAAAACATGGTAAAATAATTGGATTGGGAGTAAATTCTGGAAATTGTTGTCCTTTTTTAAAAAACCTATCTTGAATATTTCAGAACACCAAAAAATAAAATTCAGTAGCATGTTGAAAGAATACATGTTGGTTGTGTTTATGGAGGTAAGTAAAAATGCTTTCACTTCGATGCATAAAAAGCTGCAGTTGCATTCCCTGTGGACATGGACATGGAACCTTCAGAAGGTAAGTTCGCTGCCCCATCCCTGAGACCCACACATCTACTGGTTCAATTTGCATATAAAATTATATGTGCAGTGAATTTACAACTATCCTCAGAGCCTGACTGTTTGAAGAGCCCACTTTATGATCAGAATAAACGTAGAATAAATCCTTACAAGACCAGTCATGTTACACGACTCAATATGAATGGTATGTATAAAGCTTAAGACTGGCTGTACCAAACTGTTTATCCTGTACTGAACACAGTAGTCATGACAAACACTGGATGAATGATTGAGCATGACAAACATTAGCTCAGTGGTAAAGCAGTTGGCTTATATGTACGAGAACATGGGTTCAAGTCCATGTAGAATGGGAATAGAATGAAGTAACGACTCATCATGAAGGGATGGGGACAAGTTAATATGCATGAAATTAATACTTAATGCACAATTTGCAGGTACAGTATGAAATGTAAACAAAACCCTGTACTTTTTGTTCCAGTAACGCTCAAGAGCACAGCACTGCCGCAGCCCCAAGCTTTTAGCCTGGGATTTGATAGTTTGGCCGCAGATGTAGCTGTATTTCCGAAGAAGGGGATGCAGTAGCCAATCAGCATCAATGGTCAGAGCCAAGTTAATATACATGAATCTAGTGCTAATTGCATGACTCAAAGGTGTTGCAAGAAATGTAAACAAACCCCTAAACTGTCTAAACTTGTAACCTCCAGAAATTCTTCAAGAGCTCATTTATAGCCACAGTTTCAAACTTTTGGATGAGGATTACAGAGCAGTGTTGCAGATGTGTTAGACAGGATATGAGGATAAACTTTGTTTCCTTGATTCACCATCTGTGCAAGCCAAGTGGTCAATCCTCATTTAGTCAAGTCTTTTAATTTATGCCGCAATGACTGGTCTGAGGAAGATCATTTATTCTGTATGTCTCCTGTGAGGCATCAGCTGACTGGTTGACCACAACTACCTTAATCTCAGGGGTAAAGCACCATTTCCATGTGCAGCAGCCCCCAAGTCCAGTCAAGAGGTTTCATGAAGATACTTTTCTTCCATTACTCTACTTGGTACTGGGTCCAAAGCTTGCTTTCAGTGTAAAGCAGATGAGCCAAGTGGATGAGAACTGACCAGTTGGCTTGCAAAAATGGCTAATTCATGAAATGAAGTTCATCCTCTTACCCTATCTAGGAGATAAATGTTCAACTGTGGCAGTGATGTCTAATCCTCATCAGAAAGTTCACAGCTTTGACTTGAAATGTGCTCTTGAAGGTTTTAGAGGTTATAAGATCAAAACAATCAGGGTTATACATACATTTCTTGTATCTTCAAAATATTTGCATTTAGCACTACATTCATGTGTTCATAAATGGACTTGGCCCCTGACCATTGATGCTTATTGTCTACTGTAACGCATTTTTCGGAAATAAGGCAACATTTGCAGCCAGATGCCCAGAGCTGCAACATGTCTTGTGTTCTTGAATGTTAAGAAATTGCGGGTTTTGTTTACATTTCCTGCTGTACCCATAAGTCGCTAAAAGTAGTGCAGTGGGCACGGAATTCATGTGGACTTATGTGCCCCCGCCCCTTTATGTTGGTTGGCTACACATTTTTAGGAAGGGGTTTGGAGGGGGAGGTCAAATGATAACTCCTTTTCCGCCCCTGGAGGCGTGGTTTCGTTTACTGTACCCATAGATTGTGCAGTAAGCACTTAAGTGGCCCCACCCCTTAATGCTGATTGGCTACTCATCACTCATGGTCGTATAACTGCCGCATGTTCGTGTTCCTGCCGCGGTGCATCGGAAAGTACCTGGTTTTTGTTTACATTTTGCCGCGGTGCATCGGAAAGTACCGGGTTTTTGTTTACATTTTGCCGCGGTGCAACGGAAAGTAGCCGGTGCTAACGAAAAGTTCCAGGATTTGTTTACATTTCTTGCTGTATGCACAAAATCTGCAAAAGTACTGCCCTGCTTCGGGTTTTCCAAATAACCTCCGGGTTTTCACAAAAACCAATCAGGTTTTCAGAAAAACCTTCCGGGTTTTCCAAGTAACCGTGTTTTGTTTACATTTCTTGCTGTATGCACAAAATGTGCTCAAAGACTCTCTTGCTCCGGGTTTTCCAAATAACCACCAGGTTTTCCAAATAACCGAAGACCATTAAAACGAAAAAGTACCGGGATTTTTAAATTTAATTCCTCATTTGCGATCAATAGTGTGCTGCTGAAGGTCGTTCAAGGTACCAGGTTTTCCTGATAACTGAAGGCCATCAAAAGTATCAGGTTTTCCTGCTAACCAAAAACCATTAAAACATAAAGTACCGTTTTTTTTAATTTAATTCCTGATTGCAGAAATTTTGCTCAGCTCCATCCATAGCTTCTGTAGTGTGGTGATATATATTAAAGAAAAAAATGTATTGAGGGGGCTGGAATACTGTGGGTCTTGAAGACTTTACTCATTACCCATAGAAAACTGCAGCATTATTGCGAAATACTCGTTCGTATGTTAGGTTTCCTTTCTACTGACTTACCTGTAGGAATATTTTAATGATACATCAGTCATGGATCAGTAGGTCTGGGGAGGGGAGCATACACAGACAGCAATGTGACCTCATAGTCCTCTTTTAAAGGAAAAAAACTGTGACACGAGCTGATAAGATATTCTTGGGCTATCAGCCATGTCTGAGGATAGGGAGAGAGATGTCCGTGCGACATCGGTGATACTTAACCGACACGGCTGAAAGCCAGAGCAGATTTCATCCACTGAAGCTGCCATGGAAGCTTCATATCTTGTGTTTAACGTGAGGTTTACACTGTAGATAAAAGGTAAAGCAGGGTAATTTTATTTCAGATGTACACAGTATTTGTTACATGCCACAGGAAATTGAAAATGTGACTATCTATACATGAATAGACAGCTTATAGAATTTTTTCTGAACAGGTATAAAAAAACTGGCACTTTTGATATATCACTGTTAGAGACAGAAGTTATGGCTGCCATAGGTAATCTGTGTTCCAGGTAGTGATGTGATACAATGGCAAGTGTGCTCTGTATGCAGGACACCACTGGAGGTTAAGCAGTATTTAAATATGGATTTCAATTAACATTATGAAATTTCCAATTATGTGGGTTATTTCACTGGGAAGTGTATGTCTTCTCCTGGTGACAAAGCTTGTACAAGGG